GGCATGAAGCCGAGAATTCTCGTTGGCACTGCGTGCCGACTTCTGCTCCGGGAAGCCTCCAAGGTTGGATCGTCCGCGCGACTGCTCAAGACCACCCTGAATTTGGACGCCTCACTCCGGACATGCCAACGATGCCTGCAACAAAGTCCAATTCTCAACTACGAGAAGCGGAAGCACATGCCCAACCTCCAAGCCAAGCACAAGATCGCGCGGGTGGAGTATGCCAAGCGACACCTCCGTGAGTCAACCAATTGGACTGAAATCATCTGGTCCGACGAGAAGAAGTCTAATCTCGGTGGACCGGATGGGTTTCAGTCCTATTTGCATGACTTACGGAAGGAGCCTGACACCTTTTTGACGCGCCAAAAGGGTGGTGGTGGCGTCATGGTCTGGGGCGCGTTTTCGTCGAAAGGTTTGTCAGAGTTGGCCTTCTTGGAGGGCAACCAAAAGGCTGACGACTACGTCGAAACATTGGAAAACTATTTGCTACCCTTTGGCCATTGCCACTACGGCCCCAGATTTACGTTTATGCAAGATGGGGCGTCAATCCATCGGGCGAAGACCACAATGGCCTGGTTTGCGGAGAATGGGGTGGACATTTTTGACCACCCTTCCCTTTCTCCCGACCAAAATCCAATTGAAGACTTGTGGGGGGTCCTAGCACGTTCGGTTTATGCGAACGGACGTCAATTTACGACACTGCATGACCTCGTCGAGGCCATCAAGCGTGCATGGTCTGGCTTGAGTCAAACTTATCTCGACAAGTTGATTCGATCGATGCAAGACCGTTGTGTTGACATTGTAGTAGCTAAAGGAGGTAAAACAAAGTACTAATAAATTGATTTGGGTCAAGAACAGCGATTTGTGTTGAAAATACATTGATTTTTCTGAGGTGGCTTAACCACCTGGCGCAGTGATTTTTCATAAAGTTCTCATATTGACTACATTTTCGAAGTAGTTGTGCCCGTGGAGTTGGAATCCTTTTGTAATTGGCATATCAATTCGTTCATAAACGTCTGCTAATCGAATAAGGACATACGTCAAAAGCAATTACAAAAAAACAGGGTGGCTTTATCCACCTGGCGCGCACTGTATGCTTTCTTGATGTACTGGCGTGGTTGACGCGGGCGATTCCTGAAGATGGTTGGTCGACCGGAGGATATCACACCGAACCGGTTTCCTCGCTGAGCACTTGACAGCCGCCCCGTGCCCCATGAACGAAAGGTTCCTCCTCCACGTTCGGTCCTCTCGCACGATTGCGTCCACGACAGCGTTCGTCGGCAGAATTTCCCCCGGTGAAGGCTTCATTGCGCGTGGGCCTTACTCTGCTACGCGCTGGACCGACAGTTTGTAAAATGTTGTGGCTGTGATGTGTCAAAAGGAGCCGAGCCTTTGAATTCGTATATTGATTTGACTTGAGAGGTATCAGTTCGGTGAGGCAGTAGATTGACTATTTACCTCAAAACATTATGTATGATTAATGGGAAAGAAATATTGAAATCTGGAGGATGTACCACTTGATCCTCTTGACATCGTGATTGCTTTAACATACGAAGTACGGTAGTTACTACCAAGTTACTCCAGGTACTACTATAGTACTAGTAGTACGTAGACCTTTGACAAGGTGTGATTGACGGTTCTGGTTGGCTACGGACATGATTATCGCAGTTCTTGATTACTGTACTTGGAGTAGGTACTGTACTAGTATATCATAATAGTTACCTACTTCACACGTCAAAACATGCGTTCAACGTTTCCTATGCTGCTAAACACGCGTTCAACTTTTTCCAATTCCATACAGTAATTTGTCATACAGTACCGGTAGTCATACATTAGTACAGAGAACCGAGTAGGAACTCGCGCACAGTGGTATCGACACTATTTTTTTTCCATGGAGCATTCATAAATTCCGACGTCAACCAATAGTATTTTTTCATATTTTATATTTTAACCAATAATATGCTCATAAAAAGTTTGTAAATTGTATGATTGGATATAATAAAATGAATCAGATTGATCTGATTGCAAAATTATAATTCGTACTCGGAATCACAACTTGCGCATTCGCATACAATTCCCATTATATTTCAAAATACCACTGTGCGCGAGTTCCTACTCGGTTCTCTGTACCAGTACTAGGATGTAATTGTGAGGGCGAATGCATCGCCCAACCGATTTGTGTCCTCGCTAGTCGTCGACGTACATGTACAGAGAACCGAGTAGGAACTGGCGCAGTGTGTCAGCAATGATAATTTACTTCGAAGTATTGGATTTGGTGCATTTTTGACTAATCACGAATGATCTCTATCATTCGCTTCGATTGGTCAATTCAACATTCGTGCAGCACGCTTCGACGATGGGGTGACTGGCACTGCGACTGTATCACCGGTACTTTAACTAATCAATTTGCTTGAACGGTTTTCGGCCTCGGCTAAACAATATCTAGTTTTATTGAACGTTTTCCCATAGTTTCCCTGTAATACTGATGCAGTTGCAGTGCAATTGGTCGTGGTGGGAGCATTTCAAAAATGGGGTGACAGTCACCCCATCGTCGAAGCGTGCTACACGAATGTTGAATTGACCAATCGAAGCGAATGATAGAGATCATTCGTGATTAGTCAAAAATGCACCAAATCCAATACTTCGAAGTAACACACTGCGCCAGTTCCTAGCTGGCCATTCCTATAACGTTAACCTTATGATTTGCTACCCTTCTTGTTTGTCATTATTCGCTACACGACTGTCTACCACGAAATGACTTACTGTATGTACCCTGTGACCTTCAAGGAATCGATCCCCTCTTCAGCGGAATTGGTGGAGGCACAACAATCAATTCATTTTCAATTTCACGTCTGCCATGGCAAGCCACGGCAACAAGGAGGCAGCGGACTTGGAGGAACGCGTGTCGTACATCCACTCGAACACGGCCAATGGCGATGATGGGTACGTCGAAGCGAAATCACCCAAGGACCTGGAAGAAGGGGCGCTGGCTGAAGGGGGTGCGCTGAACTTGTTCTCTCGCGAAGCGTTTGCCCTGCTCATGCAGTACGGCGCTATCGGGATCATGTACAACATAATCCCCGCGCTCCGTTATCCCATCTTCAACATTTACCTCAACTTGGAAGGTTACCAAACATCGTCGTACCGGGTGTTGATTGTGATCGGGTGGTCGTTCAAGGTCTTTTTTGGCCTGTTGTCGGATTGCGTCCCCATCTATGGCTATCGTCGCAAGTCGTGGATTTTGATCGGGTGGACCATCACGATGATCTGTCTGAGTGTGATGGCGTTTTCGCCCTTCGGCGAGCCGTTTTGCAACCGCGAAAAGACCAAATATTGCGCTACACCGTTGGAAGAGGTGCCAGAGACCGAGCTGCAGTACTTCAACTTATCCGCCCCCGACAACGGCACGCTGTTCATCCTTCTGTCCATGCTTATCGCGTTTGGGTATGTCTTGGCTGCGAGTGCGTCGGACGCGATGGTGGTCGAGTATGCCCAGCGAGAACCCGTTGCCATCCGCGGCCGCATCCAGACGGCCATCTACACCGTGCGTACGCTCGCTGGCAGCCTCGCTTACTTGGTGAGTGCGTTCGGGCTGAACGGCCGCAACTACGGAGGGTCATTTTCGTTTGGGTTGTCGCCGAATGCTCCGTACGGCATTGCCTTGGCGCCGTGTGTTCTGGTGGTGCTCTCGACGATATTTGTTCTCGTGGAGAAGAAGTCTGAGGCTGTGTCCTTCCCCCTATGGTGGGGCAGGTTTTGGGAATCTCTCAAGAGTCGCGTGTTGTGGCAAGTTTGTTTGTTTCGATTCCTCAGCAACGCCTTCAATGGCGTCAACACCACTGCGACGTTACCCGTCTCGACGTACTGGGCGGGGGTCGAACCTCTCAACGATGCGCTCTCGGACGTCATTGGCAATTTGCTGTTTGCTGCTGTTTTGGTGATTGTGGGCAAATGGGGGCTTAACTGGAATTGGCGCTGGACCATCGCCGCCGGTACCCTCGGGATGATCGTCGTCGACGGCTTTGTCGTGTTCTTGACCATCTGGGACGTCGTGCGCAACCAGTGGTTCTTCAATGGTGTGGGGTTGGCCGAGCAATTTCCCTATGGCCTCCGCTTTATCGTGTCCACGTACGTCGCCGTGGAAATCGCCGACAAGGGCAACGAAGGTGCCACGTACGGCCTGATCTCCACTGTGAGCAACCTCGCGGGGCCTTTTGCCAGCATCTTTTACAAGTACGTCAACTCGTACTTCAAAGTACGTCAGAATGACGTCAAGTCCGACACGCTCGAGGTGCGGTGGGACGTCACCTTCGTGTACTTTATTTCTTACGGGTCCAAGATCGCGTCGTTGTTTTGGCTGTTCTTGCTGCCTCCCCAAAAGGCAGAAGTGAAGGCCCTGAAGGCGCGCGGTGGCAAGAGCAAAGTGGCGGGGTTCATTCTCGTGTCCGTGTTTTTCTTTTGCGTGTCGTTTGCCGTGTCCAGCAACATCATGTCCATCTTCCCCTCAACCAAGTGCTACCGTGTCGCAGGGGGCAACGGAGTGTTGGACCCCAAAACGGGCAAGTGCCCCCTCAAGTAGAAAAAGTTGTCTTGCATTTTGACGTAGCGTATAATGAACATTGCATATCTCGTGTTGTCCTGGAGGTTCCAGTATTGATCCATAAATGAGGCGATCGACATCTAAGGTTAACGTTACGGTATAAAGTAGCAATCACGTGGCCACGTACAGGGCGGGGGTCGAACCCGTCAACAACTCAATAGCTAGCATCTTGGGCAACTTGATTTATATAACAAGTCACCCTAGATGCTAGACAGCGAGTCGTTACTCTGAAATTCTGGTTCATGGGGGCGTTAAGGTAGCTGTAGTGAAATGAGCGGTGAACAATCGCCGCGGGCACCACCGACGTGATCCTCGTCGACGGGCTTGTCGTCTTTCAAAGTCAAGTATTGCTTGAAGGCGACTCAGGGACGTCGTGCGCAACCAGTGGTACTATAAAGGCATGGCGCTGGCCGACAACGTCCCCGCTGGCCCGTTTGTGGCGGTGGATGTGGCGGCGCCACGTACGGCCTGGCCTGATCACGACGATCAAGAACGTCGTGAGCCCGTTTGACGGTATTGTCTACAAGTACGTCGCCTGGTTCTTCAAGGTGTCCTCATGAGCGACAGACACAACCGACGTGCGGGGATGACGTCACGTACTGTAAGTGTACATGTGCAAGTTAGCGTCGTTGGGGTTGGTTGTTTTTGCTGCATCCCCAAATGGCAAACCCCATCTTCGACTACCAGCACAAGGCGTGGATTTTGATCGGATGGGCCATCACGACGAACCGTCTGATTATCATGATGTTTCGTCGATGGCGAGCTGTTTTTCGGCCGCGAAAAGACCAAGTGTTGTGGCACGCCGCTGGAAATGGTCCCGACGGCTGACCTCCAGCACTTCAACCTGGAGGGCCCCCCCACCTAAAACACGCTGTTCGGCGTGCTATCCATGTTTGCTTCGTTCGGGTACGTCATCGCCGCCTGTACGCAAGAAAAAATAACGCATAAAATATAAATATTTAGGGGTTTTACGCATAACGTTATGTATTTTCGAGAATTGAAAAAATATGCATTGTGTATTTTGACTCGATTATAATGCATAACAAATAATTTGTCACATAAAAACACTGACCACATTGATTAGCAGCCAGTCATTAGCTCAGCACATTTTGTTCGTAACGCCCCGTTTGATGTTATTCATCATCGCTACGTACAATAGACCACTCAACCAATTATTGGGTCACTCACACAGTGCACAGCACATTCGGAATTGACGAAGTGACTTCCGAAAGTGTGTCGTATAAAACATTGTGATAGGCTATTTCGTAACTGACGCAGTCATTTCCAATCGCTCCAAGTGGTTTCCATTGTGTGAGGTGATATCGTAAAGCACTTTGGTAAGCGTGAAAGACTTGGTAAAAAGTTGTTGATCGAACGTTTTCTATTCAAAAATTCCACTATCGTCACCAATTGGGTAAAATTCAGTGTCCGAATCGAAGTAGGCATTTTCACCACTCGGCAAAAACGTGCCCAAACGCAACTTGCGCTTCTCGCGATGTTTTTTAACTGCAACGGCACGCTTGGCTTCCTTCTTTTCACTCGAAGACATGAGGGCGTTCAAATACCGGTTGCGTTCATGGCTGTCGTCGACCCGCAAGGGAGAAAAACGAATGTGACAATTAGTCAACGCAACACAAGTTTGAAGGTAGAGATCGTAGTTCTCTTGCTTCCACGTGTAGGACTCGTTTACGATCGCCCACAGCGTCTTCAAACGACCGAAGTAGTTCTCAACGATCACGCGGTCGGTAGCAATGTTGTTGTTGTACTCCATGTCGCTCATAGTGAGCAAGCCGCCAGCGGGCCGTTTCGCCGGGGTGATGGCACGCATGCGACGGTGGAGCCCTTGGTGCCCCTTGTCAGCCAAAATGGCCCAGTCGTTGGGGTACTCGTCGAGCATAGGGCCGGCATCGGGCATGTCGCGTTCGGCATCGGTCTTGCGCATCTTGTCCGCGTGGAAGGCCTCGTTGGCCTCGAAGATGCTGATGTTGGCGACCATGGTCATCGAAGAATTTTTTTGAAATGAATGGCTCGTGGATCCTCTCTGACGCGTTTGCGCGCCAATATTAGCATCAACTTTGATGGACTTGGCGGCCTTTATCGCATTATTCAAGTTTTAATCTATCAGTTTTGAGAAGATTCTCTTCAAGGAGTTTAGATGCGATGACGAATCACTTCGCTAGACTGCTCAATATTCAACGAACGAAATGTTGTCTGATCGGAAATGATCGAGTGATTTCCAAATGCACTCATACCTTGATCAATGACAGACAGTACCAGATGTCAGGCGATCCTTGTTCAAGTGGTGAGATGTTTGCGAATGCGTGTGTTTTTAACAATTGACTTCATCATATGCTTTTGACAAAGTCACAAACAAACGATTGTAAAATAGTCGATGGTTGGTGAAAAACTTAGTCTCAAGTTTGGTGGTCTAATGTGGGAGGTTTTAACTCACTTTGATGTTCTAGTCGTTGACTTCCCCAGCTTTGAGCATTACATTGGTACAAAATATCATGAGTTGTATGTATGAAATATTTCTAGTAGACTTAGAATATGTTTGGTGGATCAGCAAATACTGCTGGCAACCCAAATTTTGAAAATGCTGTCACGAAGCTTCAACGTGGTCGCACGCTCACTCGGCCAGAGAAGTTGGCCGTTGCTGCACTGCGAAGCAACTAAATATTATTTACAGTATAGTGTATATGTATTGCGACGGATTAATCTATTGCGACTCCTGTTATAACTGATAATTTTCTTGTAATAACTGATATTTACTTGTGAACATATTGAATATACTTCAAATTTGTATGACACAATGGATTAACAAAATTTTGAGAACGAGTGTAGGCTGGTTGTGAAATATCACCTGTCGCAATACATATACACTATACGGTACGCCGCAGACGATGCCTCGGACGAAGATGCTGGATTTGCCGAAAGAGCGTTGAAACGTGCGCACTTAGCCGACGAGGATGACACCTATGTCCTCCTTGGTGCTGTCACCCCAACGTCAAACATAGCCGAGCGTCTTTTCAGCATGCCGCGTGCTTTGATTGGCCTCGACCTTTTTTCACTCCATCCCATCATGATTGAGGCGACCCTCTTCCCTAAAGTGCAACCGCAGCTACACTGTACTGGGGCGTATCGACTGCACGATTGAGTAAAAACATGTGCATTAATTCGCATATATTGCATAATATGCATAATGTATTTCACAGTCAGTCTTTTGCAACGATTATGCATTATGTATGCACTGAATAGCTAATAGTTAAAACATACATAAAATGTGCGTATTTTCGACCCCTGCCTGTGCGTCCGACACGATGCTGGTCTGTTACACCCAGCGAGAACGCAGTGACCATTACACGAGGATGCCAGAGAGCGAGCGCACGACGTAGATAACGGTCTGGATTCTGGATACGACCGCGGATAGCAACAGGTTCTCGCTGGGTGTGCTGCACCACCATCGCGTCCGACGCACTCGCAGCCAAGACGTACCCAAACGCCATAAACATAGACAGAAGGATGAACAGCGTGCCGTTGTCGGGTGCGGAAAAATTGAATTACTGCAGCTCGGGCTTAGGCATCTCTTCCAACGGCGTATCACAATAACGTAGAGTTCCAATAAGACATACTTCGAAGTATTTTGGAGTCGCTGCCGGGAAATGGAAGCAGCTCGACACTGAGGAATTGGATAAGACTTCTGAAAACTGATAATTCAAGCCCGCCTCGGCTCGCCCGCCTTGGAACACTTGGCTGGTTCTAACGATAACGTTATGTCGAAAATTGAAGTATTTTTAAAGCCATAACAATAAAAATTTCATCTGATAACCTTGGCAGACGTAATAGGGACGATGTAGTTGCTGTCTTTTTGTTGCACGAACCCTTTGATGACAAAAAGAAAGACCAATCGACACGGTAGAACCGTTTCATCATAAAGACGTTTGACAAGCACATAAGTGCCCTTGGAGAGTAAAGACTCGTGTTCAGACTTGGCGGCTAGAAGCAATTTGTCACGGTCTGGGAGAGACATGGTATCACGCCAGTCTTTGGGGTCGTTGTTGTTGGCGCAGTCGGAAAGCAGAACATAGATGAACAATGGTTCCATAGGCCATGTCAAGGCGACCAAGTCCCAACTCAAGGGGGGCCAAAGTAGGAGCAGAGCTCGAAGGTGGCATGGAGCTTGGCAGTGCAAGCATGGTGGATATGGTTGTGGTAGGTGTCAAGTGACTCCAAAGGAGTTGTGCCCATAAGGAGGCAACTTGAGTAATGGCTAATAAAATCAAGAGTTGTTTTGACCATTGATTGCTGAGCCGACAAGGCTAAGGTTGATGGATGGGTTAAGAAGGCAGACGGGTTGAGGCCATAGAATCGTCGTAAGGGAGAAGCAGGTGGGTCAAAGACCGGACTATTCAACGAAATATTCGAGAAAATATCTTGAGGTCGCTGTGGTAGTTACACAGAAAGTGCTGTAAAGGGTCGAGATGACGATGGTTCCATAGAAGATGGCGACGAAGGCAAAGGCTTATCATAGAGGAAGGCACTAGGTCTGTCGGTGATGATTAAGTGAAGTGGCGGCAGTTGTGCGTTGGGTTCCAAGGTTGGGATAAAGTTGGGGTCGGTGGTAGATTTTTGGCGATACGCCTCAGCAGCACACGTCGTACGCAACCAGTGGTACTTGTCTTGCGACGGTGTTCGAAACCGACGACTACCGTGTTCACAACGGTGACAAATCCAAAAGTAACTTCATTTTCCAGTCAATCAGTCATTTCCATCTTTTCACTTCACTACTCTCTACAAGTCATGCATCGGTACAGTGTACCATCAGATCGGAACATATGACCCTCCGGATCCAGGTCATATTTCACATTCCTCAAATATCGTCCTGTTCCGGACCAACATTCGGCTACCCACACTCAGGCACGGGGAGTCGAACAGGGGCTCGGCCGATAACACTTCCCCCCTACATCGGGTGGCCACATGCACTCGTGAGATCGTCAATCATTTTGTTCATGCCGTCTTGGTTGCTCCGGGCCTTGGCCTAGAGACGGAATAGCACAAGCACATCTTCGTAGATCGATAGGGCCAGTTTCCAGGACGACTCCAGATCGTCCAGACCAATCCACTTGATGGTATTTGGGCGCGACGATGGCATAACCATCGACGAGCCACTACCCACCCGCGACGCCTGTAGCGCTTCTGGGCGGTAGGACTGCGCTGGGAGACCACCGTAGGCCGCGCCTGGTGGGTATCCTTGTTTTTGCGCGGACGTCTCCGGGATCCGTGGTAATGTCTGCACACGCGGGAGGCTCGTCATCGGTTCCGTTGCAGCTTCTGGCTGCGAGGTCGCCGCCGCCACCGACGCGCTGTAAAAGCCATCGTCGAGGGTGTGGTCAGACAACGATCGTGCGTCGTATGTCGTCGGGGGTGCCGGGGCACGCGGGGTGGCGGGTTCGGGCTCCATGGTGGTTGCAAGCTTGAGTTCCTTTAGTCAAACGAGACTAATAAATTTATTGTTGTGTCTGCCGGTCCTGAACTGGCAGTGACTCCTTGATGCACCGGGTTCAAAGGTAAAAGAAGACTGACAATGTTAAAGGTCTTAGATCTACTGATTCACAACGCACATTTGCCTCCCCTATCGAGCTCTCTTCGGTCGTGTTGACAGATCCTTGACCAATGGGAATGGAGTGCGCTTGCAAGAATAGTATCTATCTCTTCCTAAGATAGTCCACACCCAACAGTGTTCATCAACCACCTCAAAGCGGTCGTGTTTGTACGTCGGCACGACGCACACTACAGCCTATCTGGATGGTGCAAGGTCACAAACTGCACACATTGCACCTCTGCACTGGGTTGTTGATATGCGTAAAGATTGGGAGTCGTGCACTACCGGTAGGTGCTTGTTCTGCAGTGTGCAGAGCAATTGGGTCGCGCGTTAGTTGGACCCATAGCAAATACACACACTTTGTGTGTGTGCCGTGCCAAAGGTTCCGATACCTTAGTGGAGGTACTGATTACTTTAGTGAATGGTAGGCAGTAGGCGCCTCATGGCGTGTTTAACGTCACTAATGTCAGCGAGTTATATTTGCTACCTTGACGAAGGTCCGGTGGCGGAAAGCCAAGAAGAAGCGGGAGACAAAACAAAGATTTCTTTAGTTAATTGTTGAGCTATTCACTGGAGATGGTACGAAAACATTCCTCCGACGAGGAAACGCCAACGAACGCCGAAGAACGATCGCAGTCGCGTGACCGGATCGAGGGGCCACGAGGACGCGCCGCTCGGCGCACTGTGGAAAACCCGTTCAGATCTCCCCGACGACGACAGCCACCTGCTGTCGACGTGTGGCAACCGCCACGTGGTGTTTACACCCCTGCCACAGACCGAGGAACACCAGCTGGCGCAGCGTTTGCCTCAGCTGCTGCTCCACCAACGACTGAAGCAGATGGCGCTTCAGTGCTGTTGCCAGCCGACAACGACCCGTCGGATGTCCGTGACGATGCGGACATGGGCAGCGATGGCGATCACGGCCGAACGGCGCCGCAAGATTGGAACACGCCGGCGATCCCGCAGCCGCCGACACTATCGAGCTCGACCAAGGCCGAAAGTCGCACTTTTATGCGCCAGTACCAGAAGTATCTGGGACAGATCAACGCTTTGCAGTGCAATGGATCGCGTACGTTCGCGATATCTGTGAGTGCCTGCTTGGATCCGTTTACGAAGCGCCGTAGCACGCTGTTCGATTTCAACCGCGACACAATTCCATCACGAGCGATGAGTGGGTCGCGTGGTTCAAGTCAGCTTTTGAGGAAGACCCTCAAGATCTGTACGTTCTGAAGCAACGTCTGCAGCGAGCGATTCGTTTCGATATGAAGATCTTGAACGCGGAGTCCCGGGTCGGTCGTACTGTATGTTGGACGAGCTGATGCGCTCGTTGGAACAAGACCATGAAGAGTGATACTCCATCAAGAAGGCAAGATGGTCGTCGAAGTCATGACGAAGTCGATTAAGCCCGAATCGCTGAAGACGGCGGTTCAAAAACAGCTGCAGTTGCAGCGGAACAAGGCGTTGAAGAACGACGTCTTCCGTTACGTCAACTGGCTGCGGACTTTTGCAGCTGGCCACCAGCTGTACGTCGGGCTCGTCGACGAGCCTAAACCTTCCCCAGCAGCGAAGTCGGTAGAAGCTCCTCGAGGCGGCAAGCCTCAAGTTTCAAGACGTGAAGGCGGACGGGAAGACGCCGCCAAGAACAATGGCAGAGTCGGCGGAAAGGCCGAAACGATTGTGCCCAAGAATGCCGAGCCCTCTGCCAAGAAGGGCTGCTTGAAGTTCGGAGACATGAGTCACCGTGTGGCGAAGCCGTAACGTTGTTGGACGTGACCGTTGTCACGCGCGGTGTCATGAATGCGTTGGACGCAGCCGGTGTCAAAGTTGGGAGTGTCTCCCATAGCGTGCCGCATTTGGCGTACCTGTATGGCAGTGACGCCAAGCCAATTGTGATGACGCGCACCGTCGAGTTCAACTGCGTGACGCTGGACACGACGTGTGGACCGCTTGTGTTGCGCGGTCTGAAGACCTTGGTCGACGACGGGTCGTGAGTCGCCCAGTCATGGAGTTACTGGGCTTCAGCGTTGAAGATCTCCTTATTGGAGCAAGGAAGAAGTAGGAAGAATGGGATATTTCTTCCGTGCCGACGAACGAAATGTCCGGCATGGCGAATGTCAAGCGCCTGATGGCAGAGAAGATGAATCCGCCGGAGCTTGACCCCGACGACGGGATGGAGTGCGCTACTCCGGAGGTTTATCCCAAAACCTCCGTCGAGGACAAAGCGGAGCGGCGCCGCACGAGGCAGGGCGCCGTTCAAGCCATTCTGACGGCTAAGGCAGCCGAGGTGGAGACGCTCGGGCTTGCGCCTTCTGAAACGACGCGGCTGAACGACTTATTGGCCAAACACATTGATGTGTTCCGTGAAGACTTGGGCGACGATCCGCCAGTCAAGGTCGAGCCATTGAAGGTTCGGATCAAACCCGGCTCGACGCCGGTGAAGTGTGGGATGCGGTGGTACCCGCCACCACATGTCGAGTACATGCGCATCCATGTGGCTGCCCTGGAAGCGAATGGTATGGTATACCAAAACAACCGGGCTACGTGGTCCGCAGCCCCAAGGATCGTGCCGAAGAAGGAAGTCGGCGACTAGCGCATGACGATCGACAACGCCTGCACGGAGCAGATGCCAAACCTGGACAGCGCGATGATCTGTCTGGTCGGAACGAACGTGTACTTCACGTTGGACTGGACCAAGGGGTACTGGCAGTTGCCGCTGCATGCGGACAGCCAGATGTACTTCTCGTTCATGACGCTTTTCGGCGTGTACACCCCAACCCGCGTGCTCATGGGACAGACGGACGCTGTCGCATACTGTCAGTCGGTTGTCCACCAAATGTTTGGTGAGCTGCTGTTTCGAGGCCTGTTAGCCTGGCTCGATGACTTGCTGGGATCCGCCAAGACGACGGACGAGCTGCTCGACTTGTTGGACCAAGT